ATTCTACTGAGCCATCTCCCCAGCCCCTCCTTTGTTTAAAGGCCGATAAATCCAGCCCCCAGGGAAGTTTCTAGTCTAAAACCCCAGAAAATCTCTGTGAGAGGGTTTGGATCTTCCTGGAGCCCTGAAATCATTTTATTTGTCTCACTGATTGAAGCCTTCACCATCCACTGGCTTGGAAGATCGTGGGCCTGATCAGTGTGTGGAGCTAGGGGCTATCACCCAGGCGCTTGCACACACCTGTGAGGGACGAGCCCCGCCCCATCAGGCAGGCCCCAGTGTGACCCCCGGGTGCACAGGGCCACCTGCTGGTGCTCACGCACAGGGGACCCAGGGACCAGCGCGCATCGCATGCAGGTGATGCGGAGGTGTGTCCTGTGGCTTCTGCTCGCCTCGGCGGGCACACATGGAGCTGGCTTGCATTGGTGCCCCTGAGAGGGCCACACACAGGGCTCCCGTCTGTCACCTGCAGATGTCACCCCTTCCAAGCAGGCCCTCAACAGTGATAAGACCTCGAGTCTCATGGGGGTAGAAATAGGCTGGGGCTAGGCACATCTGAAAGCAGTTCCACCTCGACAGGAGCTGGAGGAGGACGGTCACCAAAGGCAAACACACACCCCTGGGAGTCAGAAAATACAGCCTGCAAAAGCTCAGGCACCCAGGCACCCACAGTGAGGTGAGCAGCGGGCATCAGCTGGCAGGAGGAGCGAGGGTAGAAGCATCAGGGGTTTTTTTGGCACTGCAGAGAGGAAAGAAAGAAAGACAGAGACAGACAGACAGACCTTTATTGATATAGAGGACAAGGAGAGGACTGAAGAGAGATGGGAGGGGTCCTCTGACCTGAGACAAAGGGGAGCTGAGGTTAAATGGATCTTGCTAAAGGCAGAGTTTGAGGGGCAGTTCAGTGACACAAGGAGCTGATTGGGGTTTCGAAAGAGGAAGTTGCATTCAATGCTGAGGTGGAGGTGAAGAAGGAGGTGGTCCCTGGGAAGACAAGCTGTTGTTTTAGGGATTCAGCCATGTTGGGTCAGGGACAGGATAATTTAGCAGTCTGTAGTCTGGCAGAACCTATCAGGAAGAATGAGCCCCTGGGAAGGGTGAACTCCAAGCCCACGACAGAGCCGTGGACACAGGGCATGTCGGTTCTGCCCCATCTCCAACTGCATGGATGGTGGCAATCACCACGCTGACCCAAGGGTGGCACTTCAGTTCTCCCCAGCACCCGGACACTAGGACAGCATGTCCTGCAGGACCCGGGAAAACTACAGTCAGCTGCTCACAGCCACCCACCCCGGGTTGCCGCCCTTGACGCCCGCCGCACTGTCCCTCATCCCACCCTGTTATCTGGCCAGGGATTTGGAGTCCACACCCCAACCTGCGTGTTACAGCAGAGGTGGTGAGAATAACGGCATCTCCTGTTGCAAAGACGCCCGCTCTCCAGGCAAGCGTGAAGGCCCGGCAGGGGCCACACACCCAGGAGAGGCCGCGCACCCAGGAGAGGCCACAGACACGAGCGGCTGGAGATACGGCACAGGTGCCCGGGGCTCCCGTCTCCACGTGCAGCCGCTTTGTCACCGAGCAGGGCAGGACGGGAAGGGAGCTGGGGGACCTTGTCTCTGGGACCAGCCCTGCCCACTCAGGCAGGGTGCATCTGTCTGGCAGCAGGGCAGGTACAAAGGCAAGCTCAGGTCTCCGAGCAGCCTTGTTAGCTTCGAAGCACAGCATAAAGAAACGCTGCAGCTGTTCACCCCCCACTTCTGGGTGGGTGGGGGGTGGGCACGCCAGCGTCGAGATGAAGCAGTCTCAGAAGGGTGTGGGGGCACACGGTAATCTGAGCACTCAGGAGGCTGAGATGCAGACCACTGAAAGTTTGAGGTCAGCAGGCTACATGGTGAGCTCAAGGCCAGCCTGAACTAGTCAAAAACAAAATAGAAAAACAAGCAAAAAGTTGAGCAATTGTTCCCAGTTGCAGTCTCGTTTTAGAATGCTGTCACTTTGCCAGGCACAGTGGTGCTAGCCTGTAGTCCCAGCACTCAGGAGGCTGAGGCAGGAGGATCACTGGGAGTTCAAGGACAGTGTGGACTATCTGGTGAGACCCTGCCTCAAAGAAGAGGAAAAGGAGGAAAAGAAAAAGAAGTAAAAGAGGGCTGGTGAGATGGCTCAGTGGTCTAAAGCACCTACTTAGAACAAGCTAAGCAAAGCACAGGGACCACGGTTCAATCCCCCAGCACCACATGCCAGCCAGCCCCGCCCCCTGGTGGGCTGAGCTGGCCACACACACACATACACACACACACATACACACACATAAATAAATAAAATTTAAAAAAAAAAGAAGTAGAAGTTGTTGTTTTAGTAACAAATAAAGAAACATCCACAAAATATGTAAGTATTAACATCATGTCACTTACACCACGAGCTTCCCAAAAAATGCCCTCCCTGAGAGTTGTCCAGGACTGTTTATAAGACCCCAGGGATGGAGCGGTCACTGAGCTTTTGGTGAAGATAGGCACAAGGCCCTCCAAATTACAGGAAGAAGCAAATGTCTCTACCTTCTGCACATTTCCGTGTTGAGGTGACTTTGCATATGTATGTGTACGTGTGTATGTACTGTTTTTTATTTTGTTAAGCAGCACAGTGATCCTCCTGTCTCGGCCTCCCAGGTGCCGGGATTACAGGCGTGCACTACCATGCCTAGCTTGCTTCTGTATTTGTACTGCACCTATCTGCAGGAGGCAGAGAAAGGCCCAGAATGCTTAGCAAAGGAGTTCTCTGGGAGGCTGAGTCGGGACGCCCTGCCAAACACAGTGAGAAGAGCCTCTGGTTTCCAGAAAGTTACACGGTACCCGAGGACGGCCCAAAGTCACCCACCACGCCACACCTGACTTGTTCCTGGCTCAGATTCCAATGAAGGTGCTGTGAAAACCTCTGTGTGGTGCCAGGCACCACCACTCAGAAAGCACCGACAGGGCTGCGGGGTCAAGGGGGGCAGGGGAAGAGTGCGGGTGGCTGGGGGGCCAAGGGTGGGAGGCTTCACAAGAAGGGCCGTTTGTCACTCCTGGAAAGCTCGTCCTCCACACCAAGCCACATTGGACTCTACACTTCAGATGCGATGGGCTGTGGCCACACACACACACACACACACACACACACCACTGCTGCCAGCACGGCCGGGCTGCTCCACATGCCAAGGCCTGGGTAGCTGGCTTGGCACCTTGGCTCCAATTAGCAAGACGGAGAGCCCACCCCAACTCCAACCCTTTCCCATGGGCAGAGAAGCATGGCTGATGGGCTGGAAACACCCCTTGCAAGGACATCTAGGTCACAAGCAGGATGTCCAGTGCCAACCCACTGCCACCCAGAGTCCCTGTGGGGCCACAGCCCCATGCACACTGCCCAGGACCACACTCTACCCACAATGGCCTCCTCACCAGCAGTGGACACTCGGGAGGGGCTGACACACACCCTGTGCTCTGCGGCACCGTCCCTGTGGCCACCCTCATCACTCAGACAGCCTGCCCGGCCTGGCCCAAGAGGGGCAGGGTCTCAGGACTGAGCTGATCCAGAACGTCCGTTCCTGCTCCCTGCACAAGGGTTTCCCCAACAGCATCACAAGTGGAAACGGCTGCTAACTGCCTCAGTGCCACTACGGCTGTCCAGGAGGGACACAGGGCTTCTGCTGCAGTTACGACCTCCATGCTAGTACTGGGGGGCATCTCCCGGCAGAGCCACTCCCCCATGGCCCCAAAGGGGTCCCACAGCCCTGGCCCAAAGCCCCAGGCCCCACACAGCCTTGTGCAGGGCTGAGGCACTGAGGATCCGAGCTGGACTTGCAGCATCAGGGCCTGGGCTCCCCGGCACACGCCACCAAGAAGCTGTGGGACAGCTGTATCCCCTCAAAGAGAGTTTCCAGGCCCCCAGGGACCATGGTGCCAGCACCTCCCAGGAGGACAGGCTAGGACTCTGCCAGCTGTCAGTGTGGGAATGTCCTGTCCTCCTCAGGGACTATGGCTACAGGTTGCAGCTGTCCCCCAGAACATGAATTTTTACCCCAGTGCACCCACACTGCCTGCAGCTTCCCAAGCTGTACTTTTATGTTCACTTTTTTTGAGATAGGGTCATGCTCTGTAATTCAGGCTTCCTTGAACCCACTCTAGCCCAGACTGGCCTTGCATTCGTAGAGATCCTTCTGCCTCAGGCTGAAGGCGTGTGCACCTCACCTGTGTTCTGGAAGAGTTCCTGAGGCTCCAAGCACACTCAGTGGCCAGCTGGGCAGCAGGCCAGCGCACAAAGCCCAGCACAAGTGGCTTTGGTAAGCTCCCAGGGGAGCAGGAATGGCAGCTACAGGCCCTGCCTGCCGAAAACACAACGCTGGGGCTGGAGGGACAGGAACGTGGTGCCCAAGCTCAACTGACTGTCCAGGACCAAGTTCCATGCACAGCAGAGCCTTCCGAGCCAAGTGCCGGGGGCATGACCCAGCTTCCCTGCCTGTCTGTTTCCCTATTTCAAGCTGAACTCCAACTCCTTACCTGGCCCAGGCTGACCTCAAATTCCTGGCGCTCCTCCTGCCTCAGCCTCAGCAGGGCGCCACCAACCCGGCTTTAGCTTGCTGTTTATAGTGAAATGTGTAAGGATGGAGGGAGAACTGCTGGGCACCCAAGACCAGGATTGCTGCCTCGGAAGTCCTGGCCACCCAGGCTGAGAAAGGGACCCCCGGGGGGGGGCTCCTCAGAGGGGGCCAGCGGACAGAGGGACGGAAGGACAGACGACCTTGAGTGCCCAGGACTAAAGGCAGAGCAGCCGCCACACAGGGGGCGTGAGCTGTCACGGCTCCCCTGGGGCTCCCGAGGGACGGGCCTGCAGGCCACAGGAAGCAGAGTCCGCTCCGGCAGGACGCAAGGGCGGGAGGAGCTAGGCGCACTCCCTGGCCGCCGCCTCCCGCCTGGGGAAGGATCTTTGGCCGAGAAGATAAGGGGCAAATTCCCTCCAGCTCTACTCACCTCCCTGTGCCCCGGGCTCCAGGAACAGAAACTTGGCCCGGCCGGGCGGCCGCCCACGCGGCCCCCGAGAGTTGCAGGACTGAGTGAACCTGGCTCCCCGCGCGCGGCTCCTCCTCCTGCCTGCCTCCCGGACTCTGGAAATCACAGAAAACACCTGGGGGCGGGGAGGCATCCAAGAACTGGACAAAAGGGGGAAAGCTCAGGCCTGAAGGTGGGTGCCTTCCACCCCTGCACTCAGGAGGCTGAGGCAGAAAGACCGCCTCCAGTTCAAGGCCAGCCAGGGCTATAGAACCGTCTCGAAAGAAAGAAAGAAAGAAAGAAAGAAAGAAAGAAAGAAAGAAAGAAAGAAAGAAAGAAAGAAAGAAGTCACATTTCCGTTTCCGAATTCTCAACCTGGAGTCCTGGAAAGGAGCCTATTCCTGCCTCTTCCCTCCGGTGCCCGGTGCCCGGTCCCCTAGGTACCCTACAGTCCCCGGAAGCAGAGGCAGAGGTGACCTTGGCTGCCTCGGGCAAACCCCAAGGACGGCAGGAGACAGGAGGAGCCAGGCCGCCGCCCAGACCCACTGTAGCCCACACGGTTCCAGGAACCAGAAGGCGGGGACCAAACCGGCCAGGAAATGAGTCCCGACCTCGCCGAGCTAAGGCACCGGCGATATTTTGCAACACCGCGGTGACGTCCCACACCCGAGGAAGGCAGCGCCCCTCCGCGCCACGCAGGAGCTGGCTCCATGTGGGTCCCCAGCACCAGTCCTGCTGTGTCACCTAGGAACCAAGGGCAGCAGGGATGCCCAGCCAGGCAAGAGTCACCTCGAGGTTAGTGCACCCCGTGACCCCTGCACTCGGGAGGCGAGGCAGGAGGAGCCTGTGAGTTCAAGGCCAGCCTGGGCAACAGAGTGAGGCCCTGTCTTGAAAGAAAGAAAGAAAGAAAGAAAGAAAGAAAGAAAGAAAGAAAGAAAGAAAGAAAGAAAGACCCTAGAAATACAGTAGTCCCCACACTCGCGACCAAGATAACAAAACTACAGGACCAGACAGCAGGCAAGAGGAGGCGCCCCGAGGGCTTTAAAGAGAGAACCGCGCTGACCAGGTGCGGGGCATCCGGACCAGCACCGCAGGGACCTTGCAGACCCCCAGGGTGCCACAGCGCTGACACAGCAGGGGCCCAGGGCTCTGCTCCCCGGAAAAGCGGCCTGGAGCCCTGGCGTCTCTGTCCCCCACTCCCAAAGAAACAGTAGTCCCCAAACAGCACCTCCAGCCCCGGCGACGCTGCAAAACTCACGAGTTATCCGAGTGCAAAATCACAAGCACCACGAATTCTGAAACTAACCCACTGCCTCGCTTGAAAACCTCTCCCGAAAGCCGGGCCGCAGGACACGCGTGGGGCCAGGAGCGCGCACAGAGTAAGCAAGGGCGGAGGGCGGGCGGCGCGGCTCCGCGGCGAAACTCAGCTCTGTACCTCGGCTTCCTCTTTGGGGAAACAGGCTGCGCTTCCCAGCTTTCCCTCTCCCGTGCCCGGCTCCTTGAAAGCCAGAGAGGCAGCGGGGCGCAGGGACGCGCGCCCGTGACCCCAGCGCAGAGAGAGGCTGAGGCAGGAGGATCGCAAGTGCAGCTCAGCGGCGCAACTCAGACACGTGGGAACGCGGCGTCCGGTAAGCGGCGGGGTATAGCTCCGCGTGAGGCGCCGGGTCCAGCGAACGGGGCCCCAAAGAAGTGACCGCCCGGCTCTGCCCCGCGGACGGCCTCACCTGCGGTGTCCCACAGGGACAGGTGCAGCGCGCGCCAGGGTTTCAGGTAGAAGGCGCCGCCCACGGTGCTGACCGAGTCGGAGAAGCGCCGCTCCGTGTAGCGCCGCAGCAGCGAGGTCTTCCCCACGCTCGCGCCGCCCAGCAGCACGACCTTGGCGTCGGGGCGCCGCATGCCGGCTGCCGGGTGCTCGGGGCGGCTGCCAGCAGCGCGTACGCGTCGGGGTCCGGGCTACGCCGCGGGGAGCCGCCC